GCTTTTTCAGCAACGGCTCTGATGCCTTCAGAGCCTCGCCTTAGCGACTGTCCAGCGAGGGCGTGCGGCTGTAGCGCAGCCCGTGACCCCGGGAGGGGGACGGATCGGTAGCGTAGAGGGAGTTCGGATGTATTTGTTATGACTCTGGGAGCCGGGGACCTGACCACTGCGCTGGGATCTTGTGGCTCAGGGAGCGGCGATGGGCTCCGTTGATGTGGGAGGGCATATGCTTGCAGCATTGCTTTCTGGTGTGTAATTTCCTGCCTGTGACAGCATTACTTATGTTAGTTATACACAAAACTCAGAACAAGGCTTTTCCTAACCTGTATTTTACCTATCTTAGCTTAAAAAAGCCCCATTGTAACATGTTTTGGGCATAGCTGTTTCCTGTTGTTATTCTGGTTATTACGGTCTTACCCATAGCACAAGTTGGGGTAAGGGCTCAGCTGAGTTAAAGGCTCTCGGACTTTAATCTTTGTAATGTGCCAGGTGTTCCCAGAGTGACTGTGGCTTTGTTGGAGAGCAAAAAGATTACACAATCTATCTGTCATTCTTCTTGCAGTCCACAGAAGCTTTGGAATTCATGAAACGGGACCTGGCTGAGTTCACTCAAGTAGTGCAGCATGACACAGCCTGCACTATTGCTGCTACGGCCAGTGTGGTCAAGGACAAGCTGGCAGTGAGTATAGGAGCAAGAGAGCTGGGATTCTTGTTGCAGAAAGCAAAGCAGGGGGTGAATAACCTCTGAGGACATGATCCTCTGAACAAACCCCAATGTATAACCATGAGCTTCAGGTTTCAGGCTTTCTCCCCGGTGTGGGTCTGGTGCCGAGCCCTGTGTGGCATTTCCTTGCTGTGGTGGTGAGGAACCTCTGGAGACGAGTGGAGACAAGTTCCCTGTGCTTTCCCTCTCCTGGTGCGCCGTGTAGGTGGGATGCTGGCAGTGTCACTGTAGTATGACATCAGATCTCTGCGTAAGCTGTCAGCCTTAGCCCTGCACAGCTGCCACTGTGACAGTCCAACCCCAAAACCAGCCAGTCCCTAAACCTGGCTGTGTCCTTCCCCACAAAGCCTAGGCTCAGTTCCTGACAGACCTATTCCAGGGCCTGCCTGCCCCACCGCCACCTGAGGCTAGTGCCTGCGACCACACCCTTCTCCTAGCCCAGCCCTGGCCACACAGTTGCCTCATTAGCACTTTTTTCAAGGGAGAGAAATCCTGCTTCCTTGAAGGAACCTGTCCAGAAAAGCCTGAGACTTGTCCTGCTGCTGCAGGTACTGTTACTTATGCTGTGCTGCTTTTTCTCTTCAAGAGGACGGAAGGTTCCTCAGGTGCGACTGAGAAGGTGAGGAAAGGGCTCTCTGACTTCCTGGGTGTCATATCGGACACATTTGCTCCCTCGCCGGATAAGACCATTGACTGCGATGTCATAACACTGATGGCAACACCTACAGGTACCACAGAGCCCTATGACAGTGCCAAGGTGAGTGCCCCGTTCCCAGAGCTTTTCTCCGGGATGTGGAGTCCCAAGCCCTGTCCTCTCGGGGCTCTGCTGCTGCTTCTCCACTGATAGCTCTGCCCTGTGTGTCTTCTCCAGGCTCGCCTCTACAGCCTCCAGTCAGACCCAGCCACCTACTGCAACGAACCTGATGGTACGGGGGGCTTGGCAGTGCTGCCAAGCCAAGCTGGCCCTTGCGTGGGGTCTGTGGGCTGTCCTGAATTGCCCAGAGCCATTCACCAGTGGCCTTGCTGGCTTGGCTATAGATGAGGTCACCATTTATAGAGAGTGACTCTGTGTGTTGCATTGGGAACTAGCTTAGGATGAGAGCTTGCTGGGTCAGTTTAAACTGGCGCTAAGTGGCCTTGTGCTGACAGAGGACCCACGATGTGGGGTGGGCTCAGAGACCCATGTCTCCCTCTTTCTTTGCCCCTTGCTCACCCCAGCTGGTCTGGTCCGTATTATTTTTCCAATAAAATTTCCCAAAACTGTTCCTGCCCTGTTTGTGCCAAGGACTGTTATCTCTGTGCTTCTGCTGTACAGGCCCTGCTGAGCTCCTTGAGGCCTGGCTCTCTCAGTTTAACCTAGAGGATAAGAAGGGGGAGATCGCAGAGCTGCTGGCCACCAGCCCTTCCATCCGGGCTCTCTATACCAAAATGGTAAGTCCCTGCCTGGCTCCTGCAGTGGGCAAGTTCTGATTTGGGGTATGGTGCAGGGAAGCCCTGAGCTGCTTGGGCCCTGGAGTTGGTGGTAGAAAGGACTGTGGTTGCATGGTAAACGGGCACAGGGATATTAGGCAGCATATTGTATTCTTCCCTGCTTGTTTGTCACGGGCCTGGAACAGAAGTTCCTCTGTAGCTGTCTGACGTATGTCTGAGCATCTACTAGCACGTACCTGAGGCTTGGTCCCAAGTCTGTGCGCCTGAAAATACAGGTGCCTTGCACAGGTTATGAGGGTAGCTGCAAGGCTCGGGAGGAGAGGGGAGCAAGGCAGCAACCTTCGAAGTGACTCATGGTGTTTCCCATGTCGCTCCCAGGTCCCGGCGGCTGTTTCCCATTCTGAATTCTGGCAGCGCTACTTCTATAAAGTGCATCGCCTGGAGCAGGTAGGTCAGGAGGTGGGTGTCTCCCCCAGTGGGTGGGCACTCCAGCCAAGGAGCTGTCTAATGCAGACCAAAGAGGCAGAAGATACTTTTCCTGGAGAAACGGGGATCTGGGCTGCCTTGTCTGTGTCTTTGTTGTCACTGACGCTGAAATCCTGGGGGAAGAAAGGATGGGGGACCTGAGTCACTGCTGACGCTGAATTCCCTGCAGGATGAAGCCCGGAGGGAGGCTCTGAAGCAGCGAGCGGAGCAGAGCATTCACCAGGAGGAGCCAGGCTGGGAAGAGGATGAAGGTGGGTCATATGGTTGGGGATCTGCAGGAGGGCTCGTGCAGACCTTGGCAGGTCTCAGTTAGAGAGGGTGGTGGCTTCTCCTCGCTCCCACAAATTCAGCTCCCAGCCCAGCTGCAGCCAACGCTGCTGCACTGTCAGCTGCTGCTGCGCTTGCTGAAACATCTCTTGCTTCTCTTCTGCCTTCCTACAGAGGAGTTCTTGGGGATGTCACCCCTGCCTTGTGCAAACGTGAAATTTCCAGAAGCAGCAGAGAAAGAATCTGCCCCTGCAGCCCTGGAGGGAAGCCACCCCACTGCTCACAAGGGACCCTCAGAGGAAAGCTGGGCCGTCCTCCCTCCGGAGCCGGCCCCAGCAGAGGGGAGCCCCTCTGAGAGCAGTGAGAGCGTCTCCCTTGTGACTCAGATTGCAAACCCTGCCTCTGTGCCTGCTGCGCAGCTACAGACTGGAGCACAACCAGCTGGGACCGGAGACCTCTCTCAGAGGCTGGCGGAGGGCACTCCGGCACAACCAGCCTGCTGCTGGAGGCCACCGCGGAAGAGCAGAGCTCCCTACCAAAGCCCCCAGAACCTGCTCATCTTTCTGCACCTGCATGGGAGTCAGCAGCATCCTCAGAGCAGCCGGCTGTTACGGAGCTCAAAGAAGTGGAGAGCAAAGCCCAGGGCAGGACAGAGACTCTGAAAGAGGAAGGACCAACAGATCTACGAGTCTTTGAGCTGAACTCGGATAGTGGGAAATCCACTCCTTCCAACAATGGCAAGAAAGGTGCGTATGTGGGGCCAGCACAGGGCCTGGAAACCTTCTGCTGGGGGTGGCAGCTTTTGGGGAAAGGGCTCTGATTTTGTGATGATGGGGGAGGAGAAAAGGGGTTTTGCCAAAATCACCCAAGAAGGTTAGATCCAAAGACTGCCTAATGGCCGAAACTAAAGTGGAAGCAAATCCTTATGCAGTTGGGCAGGGTCAAGTTGATCACATCAGATGGTGACAGTCTGCTCTCAGCAGGTGGCTGGGCCGGTGCCGCCGCTGGCTCTGGCCTGAGCCCTCTCCTGAGCCCGTTCCTGGTGCTCCTTCAGGAGAATGGAGAGTGAGACTCCTCCAGGACCCTGAGGAGGGATGTGTCGCAACTCTGGCTGACGCTATTTACAAACCTTTCATTGCAGGGGATTCTGCCTTCAGCAGAGCCTGCTGCAGGTCTCCCGGAATAATGGTTATGTTGTTTATAGGATTATAAAGCCACTGGAAGTAACCCAAGATCCAGTAAGATGACCATGTATCATGAGCTGGGTCTGTGAGCAGAATCAAATTAGACAGGAAATCAAAAGTCTGTCAGCTGAACAGGGTAGACCTTTGGTCCCTGGCCTGCTGGGTGCTGGGGCACGGCTGTGGTCTGTGTAGGAAATACTGTGATTCCTTCCCTCTGCATGTTGTCCCTAGGAGTGTCCCTGCTGCTCCTCTGCCCCAGGAGGTTGTTCGTTCTGTTCGGGAGCATGACAGTCCCCCTCCTGTCATTCCTTATCGGTTGTGTTTGCTGTGTGGCTGAAGCGTGACACATCCTAGTTCTCCCAGGCCAGAGGAGAACATGTTTCAGCGTTTACCTCTCCCACTTGTTCTGAACCAGCCCTTGCTGCGAGGGAAGTGCAGTTCAGTCCATCCCGTCTCTGTTAGCGAGCTGACAGCCTGCTCTTGGGAATGGGGGAGGCTTTCTCTCCTCGGGCAGGCTGCGGTACCTCCAAGCCTCATGAATGCCAGGGCTTTGTGGGCCTGCTTGGGCAAGCTGTGTGCTTTGGCCAGAGTGTCTGGAGAGCACGTGCAGCTCTGATGGCTCAGTTGTGATGTTTGTGGTTCCAGGCTCCAGCACTGATATCAGTGAGGACTGGGAAAAGGACTTTGATTTGGACATGACTGAAGAGGAGGTGCAGCTGGCGCTCTCGAAGGTGGAAGTGTCTGGGGAGGTGAGTCAAGGGAGGTGCTCACTCAAACAGACAAGAAGATTGCTCCCAGAAACCATCGGCAACTCCTTGGGGTGATGCTGCGTGAGCTCTGCCGTTGCTGGCTGCTTCCCCTGGGAGGTGGAGAGAGACTGCAGTGCCTCAGAGCAAGAGGGCGAATCCCTCGGCTTGAGCTCCGCTTCCAGCCCCTGTGCTGGAGCCAAGGCTGTGCAGCACATTTCTGCGAGATGCGGCTGCTGCTGGCCTGGCAGGAGGCTTCTCAAAGGCGTGACTCGCTCTTTGAGGACATGGGCTTAGCTTGGGATCTCACCGTGGGAGTCATGGGTGTTAGCTGGAGCAGAGAGTGGCTGTTTGGACATGCTTAAAGAGGGATGAGTGTGCAAGTTCCCCAAGGGGAACGGAGCAAGCAAATCCCTGCTGTGAGGGTGTGGGAGCGTGAGGATATGTCAGGCTTTGCGCTGACTCAGGTTCCTGGGCAGGAGGATCTGTTGACAGATGGCTGTTGAGTTACAGAAACAAACTGAGGGATGTTACTCTTGTTTGCAGCTGGAAGATGAAGAGTGGGAAGACTGGGAATAAAGCGACTGCTTCCAGTGTGTGTCACAAGCTCATTTCCACCATCGAATGTGAATTAAATCACAGACCGGCTGTTCCTTTGTGTGTAACTGTGCTGGGGATTGCAGTTCCAGGCTGGAGGAGTTTCGGCAACGCAAGTGACCCCTTCAGACCCGGAGGAGGAGGAAGCAGGAGTTCACTCGTACACTTAGCTGCTAGGGAGCCCATCTTCTCAGTAGGTCCTGGAGACTGGCCAAGCCAAAACTGACTGCCCCGAAAGTGTCGGGTAGAGGCAGATGTGATGCAGTGAGGGGTCCCCGGGGCGAGCTGGGCACTCGGACACCTGGCAGGATTGCTTGGTGCCGCCAGACTGCCGGACTGATTGTTTGCTTGTGTGCGCGCGCGTAATCTACAGTCCAGCAGTTCAAAGGCTCTTGGATGCAAGCTGTGCGTGCTTGCTCGCTGCTCTGCGCTGCTGACCGGGCCATCCCTGGAGAAAGCCCCCATGCAGGGAGTGGCTGGGGGCCGGAGATGCTGCAGTAGAAGGCCCTTCTGCTGTGCCACTCGTTGCTGCAAAGGCAGGCAGTTGGCTTGTGGCTTTGACCCAAAGCTGGGCCATGCTGGAAGGAGCCAAACTCCCTGCCAAACCCCTGAGCTTCTGCCTGGCTTTTCATCTTGGAAGCTTTTTCTAATGGAAACTCCTGTTTCCTGCTGCAAGAGCAGCAGCTCCTCTAAGAGCCAAGGCCTGCTGCTTCCCCCTTTGCAGCTGCACTGCCTTCCTCTACTGGGTTTTGTGTACTTCTAGTTAAATTCTCCAAGCAAAGTACTTGTGGCTTGCTCTTACCTGAGCCCTTCTGGGCAGGCAGCGATTTGGGTCACCCTGGGAGCAGAACCCCTCCGCTGTGGTGCCCAGTTCAGCCCTTGCAAAGCTCCAGTCTGGCCCACTGACCACTTTAACCTCCGCCTTGCCACTGAGGCTCGGCCCTTCCCTCTCCCAGCCCGGGGGGAGGCAGAAAGCGCCCAAGCGCGGGTGGTACCTGTTGGCTGAGGCTGTGTCTGTCCGCCCATCTGAGTCCCCTCGTGTCCCACCCGCGCCAGGCCTCACGGCCACCAGGGTCACAAGCTTTGCTGTGCTCACTTGGGTTCCTTCACTTAAGCCTCCCCGTGACTGCTTGCAATGCTTCCTACGGACCTACGGCCTCTCTTTTTGGGGCAGTTCCCCTCTGATGTCAAGAGGTGCTCCTCAGTGGATGTTGCTAATATACAGTTATCCTAAAGGGACGGAGCCCTCGCTGCTGTCTCTGGCCTTTCAGGTGGTGGTTTTATACATGCTACCTTTGTCCTTCTGCCCCTTCCAGGGCTGCTTCATTGGAGCTGTGGGTTTCCTTCTGGTTTTGGATAGCATTAACCTAGCTGCACTTGGAAGAGTTGGGTTTTTGGTTTTGGTTTTTTTTTCCACCCCCCTTAGGGAGATTCTCAAATGCCCACACAGGTGTATTGGTGGCGGCAGTGACTTCAGGTGCTTACACAAGAGCATGTCTGTCCTGCAAAACCCATGGGGGCCGGGGGCTGAGCTACAGCTCGCCTCCCGCTTGGTGTACGGTGGGCCCAGCAGAGCCTCAAATGTGCTACAGCCTCACCCCGTCCTGGGCTCAAATTTAGTTGTAGTAGGAAAACCTCTTGTGGGTAGGTGACACCAGTGGGGGTGTCAGGGCAGGGGCTCGGGGCTGTGTTCCCTTGGGGTTTGGCAGTATGGGTCACAGCTGGATCCCTGCGCCTGCGGCAGAGCTCTGAGGGTGCAGTGCTCTCATCTGTGTCACATTTTTTTTTCTTTAGTCAAATTAACCGTTTGGTTGTCTGTGCAATATTCTCTGTTCTGAACTATTCTGCATCTCCCTGAGCCTTTTCTAGCTGGGATGAAAACCAGGAACAATTCTAACAGCTGGTAGTTTTGTAACAATGACTTTCTCCAAACCTTTTACAGACTTGCAGTAAACAGCAATTAAAGGAATTCTACAGAGTCTCTGCCTGTGTCGGGTGTTCTCATTTCCTTTGCGTGATGGGGACGGCTGCCTCTAGAGGGTCTGCATGTCAGCTGCTTTGAATTTCCCTTTCTTCCCACCCGCCTCAGGGGAGGTTTGCTTAACTCGGGAGGATGCTGGGAGAAAGGGATGGGGACAAGCAGAGGCTGGGGAGCCCAGCACCTTCTCCGGGTTGGGCAGCCGGGATGCTCGCAGCCAGGGCTGCGGGGCCAGTGCATCCACCCCGCCATGTGGGATGTGCCAGTGCTTTGAGATGGCCTGGGGAAGGTGGACCTGTACTGCCCCAAGCTGCTCGGAGCTCGTGTCTGCCCCGTTCCCCGCCACTGACAGCCAGGGGCTTTGAGTGAGCTGATAAAATTGCCCGAGTATGAACCAGACCTTGTCTGTGCCGGGCGGAGGCCTGGCACACCACCTGCGAGGCTGGATAGATGGCAAACTGTGATCTCCAAATTTATCATCATTTTAGAAACAACCTGTTCCATTTAGGGAGGGCAGGGCGAGTCCTTCTCAGGGGTTAGTCAGCCATGGGTGCCTGCTGACCCCCTCGATGGAGGGTCTCAAGGTCATGTCCGGTTCTAGGAGCATTTTCAGGAGGTTCTGGCACTCCCTGGAGATCCCCAGGTGTCGAGGGACAGAGATGCCTTTCTGCTGCTGGTGCAGCATCTTGGGGATGTCGGTGTCATCGAAGGGCAGGCGGGCACAGAGCAGGACATAGAGGATGACGCCCATGCTCCAGACATCACCCTTGCAGCTGTCGTGGGGTACACCCTGCAGCACCTCGGGCGCCGCGTAGGCTGTGCTGCCGCAGAAGGTCCAGCTCAGCTCCCTGTGGCCCCTGGGGAGCAGTTTGGCAAAACCAAAATCCGTTAGCTTCAAGGTATGGCCCTGCAGCAGGGCGTTCTCGCACTTGAGGTCGCGGTGGGCCACCCCGCAGTCGTGGCAGTACTGGATGGCCTCGACCAGCTGGTGGAAGAGCGCCCTGGCGCGGGGCTCGGGCAGGGGACCCTCGTGGAGCACGTAGTCAAAGATGTCCCCGTCCTCTGCCAGCTCCATCACGAGGCAGATCTTCCCCTCTGCAGACTCCAGCATCTCGTGCACGCGGATGATGTTCTTGTGGTCCAAGCGTGTGACAATCTGCAGCTCCCGAGGCAGGAATCTCTGAATAAACTCTGCCGAGAGAGGAGGTGGGTTTGCTCACGGGGACGTCCCTGAGCTGCTGGCTCTGGGCACCCCTCCGGGACTCGGTGGAGGGAGGGAAGGTCGTTCCAGGGATGACTGGTTCCTTACGGCCCGGCACCATTCCCCGAGGGATGCTCATCGAGGGGGGATGCTGGGCTCCACCAGCACTTTGCCGTCCTTGCGGTCAGAGGGGTGGCCACCTAAACAGGTCCTCATCCTCGGGCTGTTCTGCTGGACCCCCCAGCACCCAGCCCGCACCCCCCGCCCTCTGCTCTCAGGTGGTGAGTTTGGGAAACTAGTTTTCTGCTGGGAATTAAAAGCCTCCGGGGAGGGACAGTGCCTCAGCCTGGGGCTCTTTTCGGGTCTACTCTTACCTTCTGGGCCTTCCTTCTTATCAATTATTTTAATTGCCACTTTCTTCTGGTGCTTTTGGGAAAAAGCCTCCTTCACTTTGGAGTACATCCCTTCCC